TTCCCGACTCCAGCCCCCCAACCAGCCACATACCACAGTTTTCCCCTGCAGTCTCCCACTTTTTCTCACTGCCGCCCTCCGGAACTGCCATACTTTTGCTGTTCTGTTGTTCACTGTCATCTTCCGTGCTGCAGCTGCCCCGAACAGCCTTCCGGTTGCTGTTTTCTGCAGTTTCAGTCATCATCACCACTTTCCCCTTCCCCCTATTTGCTGTCATCGCGGTTCTAGCCCCCCACCTTCACTCCCCTCACTGTTGCATCCTCTGCCTTGCTGTTTTAGTCGTTGTCCAGCCATCCAGTACAGCTGCCACCAGCCAGAAATCTCTTGCCTTTCTGTTTTGCTGCTGTCCGACCATCCTACATCGCAGCTGTCATCCAGTGACCCCTTTTTCTTGCTGTTTTACCATTGCCCGGCCATCTAGCTACTTGCTACTGCCCAGGACAATGAGCATCTGCTGTTCCCCCACTGCATTTGCCCCTCTGCTATTCCTGACCTTGCCACCACCTTTCCAAGCCCCTAACAGCCACCATCACTACCACCTTCGATTCACCGTAGTCGCGTTTTATGTGTTGTGTGTGTTGTAATTTTCAGTTTTAATGTGTTGGTTGTAACCGTCTATTGGTTTTTTCAATAATAGTATTTGTTTGTTTATTGGTGTTTGGATTAACTCCAAAATCAATAGCTTTAGCTGATGACGATCGGATTGTGTGTGCTATTACCGATAATCTATCTGTATATATTCTGATACTGTAGTTGACTCTTTTGAAGTCAGCTTATTATTTTATTTATTCACTGTCCAGTTGTTCTAATTGGCTATGATTGTCTTTATTTTATTTTTTTGAGAGAAAGTAACCAAACTCGCAGTTGATTGTTCTAACATGAATTCCACCATGAAATTCTTTGATTCTGGATGCTGTTATTTTCTCCCTGCATGTGTTTCTTATAAAAGCCCTATTTGCTATCATGTGCTCTACAGGAGAAGATGTGTGGTTGCAGAGACCCTTGCGGAAAAGCATTTTGATTTGGCTTTTAAAGTGATATATCAATTCAACCTTCCTGGTAATAGCATTATGCTACATACTTGTTTGGTTTGTGAAACTAATTTGTACGGTTTACCATTACTAAATGTATAAATTAACTGTTTATATTTTTTTTTTTCTTGCTCTTTTATGTGAACATTTTTTTTTTTTTGTTTTTTGTGAACAATTCTTGTAGCGGTTGATATCTATGCCAGTGTAGCTGCATCCCTTGCTGAGAGGAAAAGGGGTGGTCAGTTAACTGAGTTTTTAAGGAATATTAAAGGCACGATAGATGAAGATGACTGGGACCAGGTAAAGCCTCAACTCGTTCATTCATCTTTCCTTACAATGTGAATGTGGATGTGTGCCTCAGGGTCTGGGGTCTGGGGTCTGGGATGTGGGGTTACAATACTTCAGCATTTGAAAGCATTCATCCGTGAACTAACACTTTAAAGAAGATCCAATGGTTTTATTTAGTTAGTCCTCACATAAACCAAAATTACTAGTTTGTCAGAAGTAAGCTTTTAATTATTGGTGATATGGCTTTTTCTTTTTAGATAGAAGCATGGAGTTATACTGATGGCCCTTGATGTATTTATGGGGCTTAAAAGATAGGTGAAACAAAAATGAAAATATTCATGAAACACAACCGTACATTCTCTCTTTTTTCTTTTTCTTTTTATTTTTTATTTTTTATTTTTTGTTTGGATTATCAGCATCAGCAGCCTTTATAACGTTGGATCGGAAAGAGCGTGGTCCTTGATAGTCCCATTGCCATAAGTATTTTTTTCTGCCTGAAATAAAATAAACCTTGTTTCCATTTCTGTGTTTTATGATGGATGTTCTATTTTTGTTATTTATTTATTTATTTATTTATTTATTTTATATCCAATTCTGTTCCAAGTACTTATCATTTCCCTTATAAATTGATTTTTATTGTGGCCAGCCTTAGTTGTTGATATGAATGGGGTCATATGACGGCATAAATTATACATTCTATTGCAGTTTATTATGGTGCTGCTCAATCCTTCTGGGCAATACTTGGGAACAATGTAAATCCAGTTTATATTTATGAAACTGGAGTCAACCCAATGACAACGGAACTATAACTTTTATTACTAAAATCAAATAATGGTTACAACCAAAATTACTTGGAAATATGAAATAACATAAAGACACAACACAAATTAAATCTAGAGCTTTGGTTGAGGGTAGTAGTGTTGCGGTTTAAGGGAATATAGTGGTATGGATGTGTTGGCTTCAGCAAGGGGAAGTGCCGGCTAACTAATAGGGGCTAGGAAGGGGGATGCCACAAGAAAGTCAACGGCTAGAAGGGTATGGTGCAGCTGGGAGGAGTGGGTTGCTGTGAAGGTGGTTGGGAGATCTGGTGACGGGATGGACAGAGGGATGGGAAGGATTTAGCGGTAGGGATAAGGTGAGTGGCATGGATGGCTGGATGTGTAGGAAGAAGGGTTAGGCTGCAAGGAGATAGTAAGGTTGTTGTTTTTGGGGAGAGGTTTAGTTGTTGCGGTGACGACAATGATAGAGGTAGCATAGTTAAGATTGTGGAGGATGGGAAGAGTCGAGGATAATCACCTCCTCGAATGAGATACGACTGAAGTACCACCCGCCTTCAAATACAACCCTAGAAGAGAGAACAGGGGACGACAACTATTGTCTTTACATGATTATAATAAAAAAAATTGAAAACCTAAAATACAGAAATCACATATATAAGTCCTAGATAACTACGATTAGATCCTCCCATAGAAAGGCGACGCCAAGCCAACATGGAAAAGCCGATCGGCCCTCCCAGGTTTGGACTGGTCCAGATGAAGGAATCGCGAGATAGGTTGCTACGTCTCCTTTGTGTCTGCGTTAGTCTCTCAGGTTTGGGGGAGCTTCACCTCATTTGTCGAGGCATATATGTTAAAAGTAGCAAGCTATTGTAACTTCTAAGGTTGAAGGATCATTGACTATGGCCTGAGAAGCACCTATATCTCACTGTTGAGTGCACTATTTTCCAAAACGCATGAGGAGTTTTCCTCACTTTCGAGTAGTCATCCATATTAGTTCAACCATATGAGGGTGCACTACTAAGCTAAAATGGGATTTCGTGCTAAGTGTACCTTATAGAGTCTTCCAAAGGTAGTCTCGGGTTGGCTCGGCCCTATTTAACGTGAGAACAGATTGACATCCCTCTAATGGTGGTTGTCATAGTGGTAAGGCATCCATCATGTTGTCCTGACATGCTCTCTTTAGTGATTGGGCTTTTTTTGGCATTGTCGCCCCTATCCCATTTTCCTCTATCATCACCAAAACATATCTTAATAGCGCTTTTCTGCTGGCACGGGCACCCATAATCTCGGCCTCCACATAAGGTAGGATTATGCGCTTGCCATCCTTGGTGAAAAAGTAGGTATTCCTGAACACGTCATGTTGACTCCAACAATCAATTTGTCATGATCTCCCCAACAAAGTTGGCAAGCATCTATGGGCACCACATCGCACCAAACCTGATTCTGTAGCTATTTCTCAATCGAAAACCCCAGGAGATACCACCTGTTAATGTTTACTTTATTTTTTTTCCTCAACCACGTTAGGGAGTATGGCTGGGAGTGTATGTGAGTTATGAGGCTCAACCTATCCACCATTTGTGTAGATGCCACATTTCTGTTGTCTCTTCTTTCAATGATGAGACTACATACATATTTTCCTTATACTGTAATATGTGTAGAATATGTTATGGCGAAGTCAAGCCTTGGTCAGTAGGACCAGCCAAATCACAAGCATCTTGCCCTCATTTGATGAGAGATGGTACTCCTCACCCTTTCCTTTGGCTAACTCTTCTTCGCTAACTTTCTCTACTGCACGTGCTCGTTAAAGAACACAACTCACTCATTGGGCAACTAGAGGTGATGTTCCCATATTCATGGCATCTGAACTATTTCTTGCTAGGACTATAGTGGGTGTGCTACTCTTCTCATGTTTCTTTTCACTCTGAGTGTGTATGGCCTTCACTTGACTAGTCTTCTCAACTCCCTGAGGCATGCTCGTGTTGATGTATCTAACTGTGGTTGGTTGTCTGAATGATGATAGGTTTCTCTTTTTTCGTTGTTCTCCACCCTAAATGCTAAGATCTGAATGTCACTCAATGACTGGTAAGGCTGTATCAGAATGATGTTGTTGATGGCAAGCTTCAACCCTTTCAAGTACTTGACATCATGTGCTCCTCTGACTTCGTCAAATCGCATTTCAACTTAAGCTGCATAAACTACATTGTGTGTTCTTCCAGTAATAGGTCACGCTGCAACAGGTGGTGAACTCTCGAGAAAACATCTCGATAGTAGTGTGGGGGTAGGTACTGTCGCAGCAATTCCCTCTTCATCTTCTCCCATATGGTTACCTTGCTCTACTCTTCTCTATTTCCCTTCCTTTTCAAGTACCCCGAGGTACTCTTCTTCGGCTTGTTAGCATCAATCTTCACTTTTCAATCATTTGACACATCCTTTTGTCACGACCCGACTCGGGGCTTGGAATTAACCAAAATGGGAATGAATGGTGAAAATTCATTCTTTATCATTTTATTTCTTTTACTAACAATTTAATTGTCGAAAAATTCATGAAAGAGCGGCTAAAGAAAGTTATTAAAATTAGCAAGTAGAAATTTATACCTTTTTGATTGTTATTCTCGCATTATATACACGTTTGATTATTTTCTATTCATTTGTTCAAATGTTTAAAACCTAAAAGTAATATTAAAACAACTTAATGAGTTATTTAAAGATAACTCTGGAGTAATTACACTCTTAAATTACATTAAACCAAGAAAAAGAATTCAATATGTATGTTGGTATTTCATATTTCTAGAAAATATCTTATAATATGCTAGTCTTTCATATTTTTATAAGAAACTTTATATATGCTAATGCATGTATCAATGATATTTTTAAAATGAAAACACTCAAATCTTCTAAATATATTTATTTTAACTTTATTTTTATTTTATACTCTTTACATACACATCTCTCTGTGAGGATCACCGTCAACAAAACCTAATACACCCTTGATTAATATTTCCCTATCGGATTTCGTTGACACAGTGGTTAATGATCTAATCACAATTGTCTAGAGTAAAAAGGCTCTTTCCTGCCTCCTTACTTATATTTTCACATCGACACAACGTTTAACAATGTAAACATCACAGTTGTCTGGGGAGGTAAGCTCTAGCCTACTCGCCCCTGGTCGATATTATCTTGTCACCACAGCGGTTAGTAATCTAATTATCACGTCCCGACCCGGGGCTTAGAATTAACCAAGACATGATTAGCGATCAGACGGTATTAACATTTAAATAATTATCCGCAAAATTATAGAATTGTCCAAAATATAAAAGAGCCACTAAAATTCACTAAGTGCAATAAAAGTAAAACATCCCAAAATAACATCATTTCTAGGCAAAAATATCAAACAAGCACCAACAATATATCAAAATCTATAAGAAAACAGTGTAAAAAAACTATAAATACATTAGAACAATATACCTGCCACCCGTAAACCCGAAAATATTCTCAAATGTATCTGAAGGTACCCTCAAAATATACTCTAAGTTACTCTTAAAAATGTATTTGAAAGTATCCTCAAAATATATTCGAAGACACTTTCAAATTGCAATCGAGGGTACACCTTTATCATTTCTTTTAGCATGCATTGATATATTGCATCTCATGCTGGTGCTATATGGGAACAAATTTGTATGACTTAAATTTTTATATTTCATTTTTTTCTTAATTTCCTCTTCTTAAAAAATATTGAATATTCATTTTTCCCTTTTCCTATTTCATTTCCTTAAACTTTCAAGGTCACAAAATACATATAATTATAAAATTATTGTTTAAAGCATAGAAATAATTATTTATTAAATATTAATTTAGTATATATACGAAAATAATTACTCTTATTTGCTTTCAATAGACTTCTGAAATAGGTTAATCCCTTCACTTCGTTTAACTTACACTTAAGTCGGATAAATGTAATATAATTTTAAGGATCTCATTCTTAAAGAAATACTTGCATACATCTAATGACATATAATCAAATTGAAATATGTACCAATTAGGAAATTCCTCAATTTAAAATTTAGCTTGCTTCCTTGCACAAGTCTTCTATTTCTCCCATCAATCTCAAACCTATATCTTCTTTACCTTAAGAACTTCTTGTTTTCAAAAACATTGACTATTAACACTTAAGGAATAAACTTAGACGTGCATATAGAATTCATTAATTAATTAATATAACCCAAACTTATCTTACCAATACTTTTTCGACATGATAGTCCTTTCCCCATAATCTTCCACTAATAATGCTTGTTTTAAATTCATAAATTTTAATTTTTAATATTATAATCTATTTAATTACATAAATTTATATATGTAACACTTAAATTAAATCAAATAAATTTATTTAAATTAAATTAAAACTCACTTTTTTACCTTAAACTAGCTTGATAGACAGCCTTACCAGCCTCGCGCATGAGTCTTTCTACTTGACGCAAAGCTCATCTCTCAACCCAACGCACTAACTTATCCCCCTCTTCTTCAAATATGCAAGCACCCTACTTCCTCTCCTCGACAGAGTCGCAGAACCACCCTTCTTCTATTTCCTCCTTTCGGTCGTTGTTCGACTCAAAGCAGCGCATGCAAAGCCTCCTTCCTCTACACAAGCCACGCGCAAGGATCGTTGGCTTCTTTTTTTCCTTCTCCTGGGATGCAGCTCAACTCAGAGCACCACACATGCACAACTTCCCCCCATCCCTTTGATCTCCCTTCAACTAGGGTTCAACACATCTGAACAGAACAAGCAGTGTTGAAGCCGCTCCTCTACTCGCACCTTCTCACAGAGTCATTCCTTTTCCTCTGCACACGACACTCGAAGCCTCTCGGCTAGGGCACTACTCGCAAGACTCGGTTGACCTTCTGCTTACAAGCAAAGCTTTCTCTTTTATTTCCTCCTTCCTCCTCAGGTTTTGACGCAATCTCACGTAGCGTGCGTAAGTTTCTTCTTCTCCTCCAAATTTGAGCACACGGTTTCTTCTCTCCTTGTGACCTCCTCTTGTCTCTCTATCAAAATAGCGTGAAATAAGTCTCTTACGAGAGGGTGTGTATCTTCTAACAGCCGACACCTATTTTATTTTATTATTATTTTTTTAGTTTCAGTTATTACATTAACTATCACAATTATTTGAGATTATTGAAAATCTTGATGCTTGTGAGTATACTTGTGTCCTCTATCTGTATCATTAGGGGTGAACTCAATCTCTGAACATGCACGTACAAGCATTCATATATAAGCTATCTCATTCTTCATAACATATATTATTCTGAGACATTTGATGCTTCTATTGACATGCATACGTGTTATTTCCTTGTTTTGTCATTTTCATCATGCATACCTCTCATATCATTCTTACCTCTTACCTCATGCATATCAATTATATCATGTGTATCTTTTCTATCATGCCTATATTGCATATCATGTCAATCATACATATCATGAATCTCATCTGTCTCTTTCATGAATATCTATCATTCATATTTTTCTATCTAACAATATAATGAGTGTATTATATAATATAAATCTAATTGAATTAAAAATTTTAAAATAAAGAGATTACTAAAATTTCGAAATGTAATTATTCACCTCGATTGCTACTCTAAATTTTTGATCTGTGAAACTGGTTGGACATTGCCGTAACTTTTATGTTAATATTAATAACCTATAGAATACAAAAACAAATTATAAGATTTAATCAATTTTCATTAATCGAATTATTCTTTTGAAGTTAGCATATGATTAATTTTTTTGAATTTACGAAGCCTTCATACAACTAGCTTCCACATGTTTACCTCGAACTCATCGTCGTAGGCAACTAACTGGAAATCTTAAATGACTTGAGAATTTAGACTATCTTAGCTTATTAGGTAATTTAACTTAAAACATAATTGGTTAGCTTAAATGTATCTTAAATGGCTTCTCAGCAACCCAACCTTTTTTCGAAGCTGCCAAAACTTCGCCCCCTCTTCTTCTTTTCACCTAAACCTTCTCCTATCTTTGCTAATATCTTGCTAAGCCCTTCCAGAAGTTTACAAACCGTCTACGACACTTCTGACACAAGCTTAGCGCCTCTGATGGTTACTGGAAATGCAAAAGAGGCACAAGTTTTGGCAATGCTCAAACTAAATAGGTAAGGAAGAAAAAGAATATCTAGAATATCGCTAAAGTGAGTTTTGTAAATTTAGATTTCATTCAGGAGACCTGAATCGCGAGTTGCGGCACTCAGGGGGGCCACTTGCCTGACTTTGTTCTCGTCTGGCTACAGTAGTCGAGCATTGGAGCTTCGCAGAAAGGGCAAATCAAGAATGGGAGGGCTTTGTGCAATGCCACCGAGAGTAGGGTGAGGGATATCACGAGAAGGGAGGAATTTCAAAGGCTCTGGAATGTCATTCAACTCCATCGAGAGGTCATACGCGTGGGTAATGTTGGTGGGAACGGTGAGGGGATTAGGGATGATAATTAAAAGCTAACTATGTTTAATTACCTTATAACTTTTAATTTTCTTTATCATTCAATCTGTTCATAATTTAAATATAGTATTATATATCAAATTAATCGATTTGACGTGCAGAATTTTATAAAATTGATTGGTTGAAATCTGAGGGGTGTGAAATTTGAGGTATTTTTTAAGTGGACAAAAATTTTACCCAATTTCATTAAACTAGTTATTACATTCTCTTATTTTAAACGCGCTCGACGGTCTGCAACCACTCTATGAAGTCATTTGGAATCATCCTTCTCTCGAAGTACAATATTCCCACTTTCGCTCCTGAGTCTCTTATACTCCAATAGACACTTCATATTTGTATCCGCCAACAAGTACTTCTCTATATCTTTTTACAGGCATTTTATCCTTGCATCCTTTAACTGAAACTTCATCTATCGGCCTATTCTGATATTGTATCCCAAAGCATCGTGGCATGTCTTTTCCGTCGGAATCATCCCTACGGAAGGGATTTATGTGTTCCTCTCCCTCTCTTTGTCGGATCTCGCTACCACGCTCAACAGCGACCTCTGTTGTGATCCTTTTCTCAATGTCAGCGAGTTGTTGTAGCACTCGGAGGAGTTCCCGCTGCATCTCTTCCATGGTGAACTCTTGATCTGTCTGATAATTGCCTCCTCTGTGGCATGATTTGGGTTTTAGAGCCAAAAGGGTAAAAGGGTGTGTAGGGGTGATGTAGAGTGGAAAAGAAAATTTTTAAGTGGCCAGGTTGGAAAAATTAGTAAAGGGGAGAGGTGTTGGGTGGAGATGGGGCAGAGTATTAGTGGCTGCTAGAAATCTTAGGATAAAATTAGAGTTAGACTATCTCTAATACCAAATGATTATGCGAGGCTTGGGGCCTGACTAAACTCATTAATAGGTTCAACAGAGGAGGGTCTTGGTCTAGCAAGAGGATTTGGTGGCTGGGATAAGGTGAGTGACTTGGGCGGGGTGGATTGGTTGGAAGAAGGGTTGGGCTGAAGGGAGACAGAAATGTTGCTATCTTTGTGGAAAGGAATGGCTGCAATGGTGACGGTGACAGCGGCAGTTGCAGCAAAGGTAAGATCACAGGGGGTGGGGAGAGTAAAAAATAATTACCACCTCAAACGAGCTACAGTCGGAGTACCACCCACTTTCGTATACGACCCTACTAGAGGGGAAAATAGGAGATGCCTACTGTTGTGTCCTGATAGAAATATAATAGAAAAATTAAAAACTTAAAACACATGAATCACATATATAAGCCCTCGATAACTAGGCTTGTATCTCCCTATGGAAAGAAGATGGCAAACCAATGTGGAAGAGCTTATTAGCCCTCCGACGTCTGGACCGGTTTGGTCGACATGAAGGAATCGCAGGACAGATTCCTGCAGCTCTTTTACAACCGGGTCAAGTTATTAAACAGTTGCTTGAATGATTACAAATAATATTTGCTAAATGGAGAAATTTTCTTGGTAAATGTCTTGAAGGTGAATTAATCAGATTTTAAAGGTAATTTCATTGATGAATTGTAACAGAATTGATTTTTAGGGTTGCTATTCATATATTTTAGTTATTAAATTAAATTGACATAATGCATAAATAAACTTGGCACACAAAACTGAAAATGTTGCACCATCTTATTCATAAAAGCCATGCAAGGGCTTAATGTTATTGTTGGACGACAGCATTTGTTCAATAGTTAATGTACCGAACACTCTGTTATCCAGCTCCTACTGGTTGGAAGGAATTGAACATTATATTTTAATTTCAAAGTGAATCAATTTATGTCAAATTTGCAAAATCTTGCTAGGATGAGGTGTGCTCAGTTACTAGGGGCAAATTTTGGTTCACCTAGAAAAATAGGTTAAATGCAGAATGCTTTACATATTCTTAAAATGTGCTCTTCTACTTTCTCAAAAAACAGTTTCTAAACAAGTATATTAATGATGAATAATCTCATACTTATGATGATATTAAAAGAGTGATGATCAATGTTCTGCATTTTGATAGGTGTTAGGTGCTGCTATCAATGTTTATGCCAACAGGCATAAAGAGCGACCTGATCGTCTCATCGACATGTTAATTAGCAGCCACAGGTATATTCTCCTCGCACATACCTGCCTACCTCTTCCTGAATATGACAGAGTTTGGAACCACAAATTTGCAATTGACTTTTTTGTTTTTCGCTTTTTGTTTTTGATGTTTATGTTGACTTGCATGGATAGTATTATGAATAAAATTGTCCCAGATAAGAAAATAATAATGCAAGATGCCTCTAAAAATTCTAAGCTTCGTATAAATTGCTTACTAGTAGAAAAAATTGAAATTGTGTGTAAAAATTCCTCAAGTGATATTTGGTATTAGATTAATATGGAATATGGATCTTGATTTAAGGTTTGGGAGAACCAAATTTTAAATGTTTAAGTTCCACTAAAATCTTCTTATACGAGAAGGGCAATAGTATAGAGTAACTTAATTTTGATATCATGCTGGCCTGTTTGGATCCCTGATTATTAAATTTAAAGTGACAACAAAATGGAATAGAACATCTATAAAGTCATTTATTTTCTCTTTTTTTTTTTATCATAATGGTAAAATGTTTGATTATCTTGTGAAAATGATATACAGCGGTATGATAGATTACAGGGATGGAAAAAAAATTACAGTGATGTTACTATTTGACAGTGGCGGTTATATTAGCTCTTTAGATTTATCAAATAGGATATCCTTATTGAAGGACATAATATGAAAATTCGATTATTATTATTATTATTTTTACATGTTGATATTGTTTATTGGGTAAAATACAATTTTAATTCGATAATTTTTTTTATTTTTTACTGCCATTATAGGTTCATAGATTATTTGAAAATAAACTTTCAACCAATTGTGCATAACACTATATAAAGAGGTTCTGTAGTTTGAGGTGAAAGTGAGCATAGTATAGGTTGCAGTTGAGAGGCATGAGAAATGGTATCATTCGATTTTGTTTAATTTTTTTCTTTTTATTAACCTAATTAATACTTTTGTAAGTAATTTTATGCTTTTGTTTTATTTATGCTTTTTTCCCAAAATAAATACAATCATTTCTTCAATCATATGTATGAATAAAATTGTTTGCAAGTATGTTTATTATGGTACGTAGACATGGTGGTGCATGTGTAGTTTGGTATTCCTTATGTTGCATTTTTCTGGCACAAGCTTTTATTATCAAGCATTATTTAATTTTTTTATGAACTTATACAATGAGCTAGACTTCTTGTACCTTCTCTATTGCTTTACATTGTAGTAAGGCACTTGCTGATAAATATGATTACACCAATGAGAGCTGATGATGTATTTGTTCCATGTAGCGTACTGCAACAAGAAATTTCTATTGTGAAATGTAGCCTAAGGAAATTTAATACTTACATAATGATTAATGTAATAATAATATGCTTCATTTACAAAGAAGCTTCATTAAATCAATTGAAAGTGTCACGACTTAGCTCGAGAGCTTGGAATACCATGATGATAATGGATGATCAGATGGAAGAAATTAACTATCTAAACATTTTTATTTATTAAACAAAATCATGTATTATATAAAAGAGACATTCTATTACACAAATTTAAGCTATAAACGTTCGTTCAGATTTAGAACTTTTACAAAAAGAAAACTAAAAGCTTAAACTGTAGTACCTATCTTCTTAAGGTTCTCGACATCTTCACACATACTCCATAAGATCGATCTATTCTATAGCAGGTTTTCTTGAAAAATATTAGCAGATGAAACTATGAGATAAAATATTAGTAGGTAAAATGTCTCTAAATTATAATAATTCTCATTTTAAAGTTGTTTTACAAAATCACATAGTAAGCAGTAAAAAAATTGTAAGTAGGAAAAAGAAAACAGTAAAGAATTTAGTTTTCTTATAATTATAATATCTGTCAGTAAGAGTCATCGTCTAAATGTGTACTAAAAGTATATGTTTAACATTTTTTAAAGCCCATCAAAATGGTAAGTAATATTTTTTTTTTTTTACATACACGAGTATATTGGATCATTTGCTAGTACCATTAGGGAGTGACTTCACATATGCATGCATATATCATATTTTGTTTTTTTCTTTTATTGGACATTTAAAAAAATAGGAAAATTGTATTTTTAACAAAAAGTGCTCAAGATAGTAAAAGCAGTTGCAATTAATTATATTAATATAAAGAATTATTATAAAAATATATATATTTACCCATTTGTTCTATATAGTTAGTTGCTTTTTTTTTAGCTAAACTAGCCATCTGGCTTACCTCTTCTATTCATCTTGTTCAAAAGTTTAAAATCTAAAAATAATATTAAAGCAACATAATAAGTTATTTGAAGATAACACAAAAGTAATCATACTACTAAACTACAGTAATTTAAGGAAAAAAGTATTATGTGTATGTGTGTCTATAAGAAATCATATAATAGGTTGGTTATTCATATTTATTTATAAGCAATCTAATATATGTTAATGCATGCATCGATAGTCTTTTCTAAATGAACATAATCAGTTTTCTATAAACATTTACTTTAATTTTACTTTCACTTTATGTTTTACATACACATCTGTCTCTCTGAGGATCACCGTCAACATACCTAACACACTCTTAGTCGATATTACCTCGTTGGCACAACGGCTAGTGATCTACACATCGCAATTGTCTACACATTGCAATTATCTAGAGTGGAAAGGCCCTTACATGCCCGTGAATGCTATTATCCCGTCAGCACAACGGTTAGTAATGTAAACATTACAATTGTCTGGGGAGATAAACTCTGGTCTACTCGCCTCTGGCCAATATTATCTCGTCGACATAGTGGTTAGTAAACTAACCATCACAATTGTCTGGGATGGTAGAAAAACTCTATGCACATAGTTACAATTTTGTCCCCTATCTGTACCATTAGAGGGTGCTCTGAACATGCACATACAAGCATCCATATATAAATTATTTCATTCCTCATAATGTACATTATTTTAAGACATCTTTGTGCATCTACTAACATGTATACTTATTCTTCTGTGCAACTATTCATCATGCATCACTTTCATATTATCTATATATCTATCTTATGCATATCTTTTATATCATGCATATTTTTCCTTTATGTCTATCTTAAATGTCTATCTTACATATAATGTCTACCTAAATATCATTCATCTCATGTATTTCTTCCATGCATGCACATCTTTCTATACTATGTTTATCATGCATATCTTTTCTATTTAACTATATGAAAAGTTCACTACAATATCGATTCAATTGAATTAAAGTATATATATATAAATCAACTTACACTCTGAACTAAAAAAAATTACTAAAATTTAAAAATGTAATTGCTCACCTTAGTTTTCACGCCTAACTCTTAATCTTCGATTGTTAGTTGGAGGTTGCGGTGACTTTTACGTTAAAATTAATAACATATAAGAATAATGCTAAAATTTAAGACTCAAGTAATTTCTGTTAATCAAATTAATCTTTTTAAAACTATCGTAAGATGAATTTACCTGAATTTATCAGATCCCTTTACAGTGAATGACCACACTTTCACCTTGAGTCTGTCGCCCCGGTAAACAACCGAGAATCCACAATTAACATCATATTTAAATATATTTTGGCTAATAAAGTAATTTAACTAGAAATTTAAATGATTTGCTAACACATACCTTAAACAACTATTTCAGCGAACACTCCTTTTTCAAAGTTGTCAAATCTACTTCTCTCTTCCTCTTAACTTCCCAATCTCCTCTTTCACTTCACTAATATGGTGCAAAAACCCCTACGAAAACTCACAAAGGACTTTCGATGCTTGCGCCACACAATCGACGCCTCCGATGGCTACACGAAGGAAAAAAGCATGGAAAACGAGACAAAACTCAAAATAAAAGTGCGAGGAAGAAAAGAAATATCTCAGATAGCGTGAAATACAATGAAGGCATCAAAAAAAGCCATGAGAAAGTTGGTTGCTGATGATTGTACCAACCTGATGATGAAGATTGATGGGAAACTGATGGGATGGGGGAATCGCCACCTGTGGTTAGTTGGATGTTTCATCTTGATTAACCATTTATTGCTTCCTATTGCTACTTTCTTTTAGACACACTCAATCCTCCGAGCTCCATTTTGGAGTTAATTGAGAAGGCCTGCAGAGCTCTTTTATGGGATAAGGGACCTAACAGGTGCGGGCTGCATTAGATCGCAATGAAGAAGTTATGTTTATCTAAGAATCAAGGTGGCTTGGATTTTCATGCGGCGGAAAATTAGAGGAGACCTTCAAGAGCTTTGCAAGCCGGGGGATTTTTGCATAAGCCAAACTCCTTTCCATATAATTGCTTCATTGAGAAATATGGAGCGATTCCATGGTCACGTTGGCAATAAAACTGTTGAAAGATCTGGAAAATAATTATAATTATATTCAATATTTGTTATAAATATATATTTAGAGGGTTATAAATTGTATGAGGGATTTTAAGATTCTCTTTTTATTTTTCCCCTTAATTAGAGAGATTATTTGTCTCTTATATTTTTTATTATTTCTTTCCTTGTTTATTATGTTCTATTTTTATTATTTTTTTTACCAGTGAGTCTTGTAATGAGTATTTATACCCCTCTTTACATCAATAAAATTAAGCTCTCTTATGTTTTTTTTCCATTGATTTCATGGGTATCAGAGCATGAATAAAAAAATTCCAAAAAACCCTAGCCTGTCAAAGCTTTCTGTTTCGCCTGTCGAAGCTTTTTGTTTCACTGCTGCTTGCTGAAGCTTGTTGTTTCGTAGTTACTGCGCAAAAATTCGAGAATTGTGTAAAAGTGGAGATGGCTAAAAAAAAAATTTGCGTAGCCGCTGAAACGTCTACTTGCGCAGCCTTCTTCCTGCACAGCCGTTTTCTTGTGCAGTCGCTTCCTACGCAACCTGTGGTTGCCACCTGAGAATCTTTTTCTTGAGCAGCCGCTGAGACTTCTTCCACCTCCTACAAAGTCGAAACATCTCTTCCTTCTATCATGTCTTAAAATTTAAATGATTTTGCTACCTCTATCCAGTCTTCCACTCTGTTATCTGCGTCCGCAC